ACTTAGGCTCCTGGATTCCAGGGAAGAGAAACTCAGGCCACCTTAAGGAAAACAAAAATTGCAAGGATATCCACTGACCAGAGTAGGAAAAAACTAGAAAGCCAGCAGCAAATAAGGTAGCTTCAGGGTCCGGTGACTCTTTTGCATGGTTACTGTTGTAAGACAACTATGCATCTTGTCCGCTCTTATAAGGACTGCCCAATTCTTAGTTTTCAGTCAAAATTCTGAAAGAAGCCTATCTGATTCACTTACCTAATTCTCAACAAACTTCTTGGGCTGAGCCCTTTATACTAAACTACTTCATCAGCTAGCCAAAGGAGGCAGCATCCATATGATTGGCATCATTTTTAATACGTTGTATCACTCAGCGTCCAGTCCAGAGACAGAAAACACACAGTAATTCCAAGAGGGAAAGTTTGAAACAAACAATTATTAACTAGTAATGGGGTTAACTACTAAAGGTAAAGAGAACTCTAAAAAAAAACAGTAATAGTGGATGTAGGGAGCAGCCACTACCTCTAGTGCTGAGGCAGAAGACCCAAGAAAAGAACAAATTTGGGGGAAGTGGCCAGGCACAGTGGCTCACATCTGTAATCTCAGCACTTTGGGAGACCAAGGAGGGAGGATTGCTTGAGGCCAGGAGTTCGAGACCAGCTTGGAAACACAGTAAGACCCCGTCCCTATGAAGAAAAATAAAAATCAGCCAGTTGTAGGGGCACCCGCCCATAATCCTTCCTAACCACTCAGGAGGCTGAGGCTGGAGGATGGCTTGAGCCCTGGTTGAGTCTGCAGCGAGCTATGATTGTGCCACTGCACTCCAGCCTGGGTGACAGAGCAAGGCTCTAAAACAACAACTGAAAAAACAAAAAACAACAAACAAAAAATGAAAACATTGGGAGACGTTCCCTTGCAAGACTGAGATTCAGACCTTGTTGGCGAGGGTACAGTTGTGAAGCTGAAGGTTGGAGCCGGAGAGCAGACGTGTCAACAAAAGTAGCTAGGAGGCCACCCACTGGGGTGCCACTGAGACTTACTGGGAAACCTGTGAGGTCCTGCTGAAATTCCTGGGCAGCTGCCTGCTGGAACACTAGCAAACTTGCTGGGAAGCTGGCAGGGGGACTTGTGGATGGGGGAACTCCCACTTCTCTCAATGAGACGCTACTGAAATTTGCTGGGGGATATGTATTGCTGGGTGCTCTACATGCCAGTGGCCCCTACACAATGGAGAAGCAAAAAGAAAAAAGAAAGCACACGTCTCTGCCGCAGCTCCCTGCAGCATGCTCCACTGACAAGCTTAACATTATGCCAGCTGGCAACGGCAAAACGTTTAAAAGGCCCAGCCCAGAATCACGAAGCAGGGAAATAAAAGGTGAATGTGGAGCTAGAAAATGTATAGATAACTGGCACATCCACAAATCACTGGCTGTCCCTGCACAAGTTTCGGCATAACTCATGGATCACTTCATTCAGGACATGTTCACTGAACCAGTACCTGGACTTGCTGGATGAGTGTCGCATTTAAGACATTCCCTCTATTGGTATAGTCCAATATCCAGGACACCGACTTCAAAATTTCTAAATAAGAGGGAAGGAGAAGACAAGAGGTCTTCCCTTGCATTTGCTCAGCAAGCACTGCTTGTTTTCACTTACATTATATGTTTATTTTGGATGTCAGGGGTTTACAGCTGATGAAATTTGTTGGAAGGCGGGGGCAGGGATGTGTGTGGCTAATTGCACTGACTCAAGAAATAGAGAAATAATTCAGCTTCAGAACGGCCAGAAGAAGAATCAGCCAAGGAAAACCACCTGAAGATTGGTGGACTTTAAGTACCTGCAGATCAGGGAAGCTTATGTGAGGATTTCTTTGCAATAAGTAGTTCCTTTCCCAATCTTTGTGGCAAAACCTCGGGGCTTACATGAAATACTGTTAAGGTCAGTTCTCTGTTTATACAATAGGCTGAAAAGGCACCCCTCACCCCCTAACAAACACACCTGGATACATATCTGTGCAACACATTGTGGATCATGATTATGTAAATAGAAATTCTTTGAATTTCAATGCTCTGAGAAATCAAATAACGGATTTTAAGTCAGCCATGATGCTAACATTTTCCAGTTGTGTTCTTGCTGTCATGCAGTTTCCCACAATAACAAATGTTGATAGACAATGGTCCCAATAAATGCCATTTCAGAGGTATTTGCAAAGTGCTGTGGGACTTTATAAGACGGAATGACAGAGGGGGAATTTCACAGAGTGACACTACCAAGAAGCGTTTCCTGCCACATGAAATCATCTCTACTTAGAGGTCCTATAATTTAGTCATTCAAGGCTGATTTCAGTATTTACGTAATAGAATCAAACTAGGGCCAGAATCAACGCCCATCAGTTGGCCAATATCACCTGAGAATCGGTCAACTAGTGTTTGAGGTTGCACGTTGGCATCAGTTGAAAGATGTATGAACTGCCAGTAGTGGGACCTCATCTCTACTAACCAAAAGCTTTATATTCATAAAGGACAACTTTTAGGGAAGAGAATTAAGTGAATACCATTGCCATTTTTTCTCCCTCTGCACCTTTAAGTGAAAAAACAAAATAGATATTGCCTTTGGAAGTAACCGCCTAAGTACTCTTAGGAACTTAAATTTCTGGTTTATTATGCTATTAGTTTCCAAATGCTGTACACCTAAGCATAGCTTAAAAAATATCAGTTAATGAGCAGAACCAAAGTCCTAGGGCAGTTTGTGAGTTCCTTTGAAATTACACACAAACTTTAGGGTACTTTTTTTTTTGAGACACAGTCTCCGTCACCCAAGCTGGAGTGCAGTGGTGAGATCTCAGCTCACTGCAACCTCTGCCTCCCAGGTTCTAAGCGATTCTCCTGCCTCAGCCTCTGGAGTAGCTGATTACAGGCGCGTACCACCATGCCCGGCGTATTTTGTTTTTATTTTTTGAGATGGAGTCTTGCTCTGTCGCCCAGGCTGGAGTGTAGTGGCTTGATCTCAGCTCACTGCAACCTCTGCCTCCTGGGTTCAAGCAACTCTACCTCAGTTGCCCAAGTAGCTGGGACTACAGGTGTACGCCACCACACCCGGCTACTTTTTGTATTTTTAGTAGAGATGGGGTTTCACCGTGTTAGCCAGGTTGGTCTTGAACTCCTGACCTCGTGATCAGCCTGCCTCGGCCTCCCAAAGTGCTGGGATTACAGGTATGAGCCACCGCACCTAGCCCATATTTTGCATTTTTTAGTAGAGATGGGGTTTCACCATGTTGGCAAGGCTGGTCTCAAAACTCCTGACCTCAGGTATCTACTGGCCTCAGTCTCCCAAAGTTCTGGGATTACAGGCATGAACCACTGCACTCTGCAGGGTACTTTTTTTTTTAGACAGGATTGCAGCTTTCATCAGATTCCTAAAAATTGGGCCCAGAACTCAAAAGTTAAGAACCATTGCGTTAGAGGAACTGAGAAACTAAACCAGAGTTAAGAGATAAACAGGGCAACATTAAAATGAACATTTTATATTAAAAGTTTAAGATTGATGATATACTAGCCCATGTATAGAATTTAATTGCAAACTGAACTTTAACAGGCAAAGATATTAATACATGCAAACGTGAAATCATTTCAGTGAGTTCAAAACTGGATGGAGGATGCTAATTGTATTAAGCTGTATTAAATTTTTTAAAAATTATACTTTAAGTTCTGTGCATAAATTACACTTTAAGATACATGTGCAGAAACACACAGGTTACCTAGGTATATGTGTGCCATGGTGGTTTGCTGCACCCATCAACCCGTCATCTACATTAGGTATTTTTCCTAATGCCATCCCTCCCACCTCCGACAGGCCCCAGTGTGTGATGTTCCTCTTGTGTCCCAATGCTCTCGTTTCAAGAAATGTGAGATGTCTTTCATAGCCACTTGTTTTCCCAGTTTCTTAGGAAGCCACTCTCCAAATAAATCATGCATATATATAGCAATAACTAGCACAATTTACATGTTCTCACACCTACCATAATTTTCCTCAAAAGCAAAAATATTTAAAAATCATAAGGGCCGAGCATGGTGGCTCACACCTGCAATTACAGCGCTTTGGGAGGCTGAGGTGGGTGGATCACGTGAGGCCAGGAGTTCAAGACCAGCCTCAGCAACATGGTGAAATCCCATTCCTACCAAAAATACAAAAAATTAGCCGGGTCTGGTTGTGGCATGCACCTGTGGTCCCAGCTACTCAGGGGGCCAAGGTCGGAGGATCACTTGAACCAGGGAAGTGGAGGTTGTAGTGAGCGGAGACTGCATCACTACACTCCAGTTTGGGTGACAGAGCCAGGCCCATCTCAAAAAAACAAAAACAGAAACAAACAAAACCAAAAACACCACAAGAAAACAAATGTAGTGACTATCATCAAACTATCAATCAAGGTGATAGTTCTTTCACCTCCATTTGAAATTATTTAAATTCTTTCCACATTTTACCTAAAATAGTCAGATAAACATTTCACATGGAACCATATCCAAAGTAGTAGCACCATAATTTAGGTATGCTAAAAATGGATTTTCAACACAAGACAAATCTAGTGGCTTTCATATTATACAACATGTTTTCTAACTTCTGGGTGTCTATAGTACTAATTCACTTGATGCTCAATTTAAAACACAATGGAACTTTCTTAAAAAAGAAAAAAGCATATCATTTTTTGATGAATTCATTTAATGAGATTTTTCTAAAATGGAGTGGTACAAATGTTAAGCCCACATATGGAGGACTCTTGCAAGTGTACTCGTTTGCTCCATTTAACACTTTTGCAAGGTGGCTTCTGAGTGCGCATTAGTTGGCCAGTATAACTAGTGAGATAAAACAAACGTCAATGTGTGTGCCAGGTTCACTACACTGTCAGAATACTCAGTTTTAGCCCTAGCACTGACAACATTACTTTGGGCCTCTATTTTCTTTTCTAAAAAGAACTGGGTGAATTATCTTAAAGAATTTCCTCCAAGTCCAAATTTTAAAAAATGCTAATATATTGTCCAAGTAAAAGATATCCCAATAAACATCTTTGACATGGAACAAATTAATCAAGTGACACGTAACCACTGACAAACGGAACTGCCATTATCAAGAATTCTAATAAAGATTATTGATTACCACATGCCCAATCCCAGTTTCTGCATTTCTTTAAAATTCACTTGTCATCTGGGAACTAAGACATCCCTGTACACAAAGTGCGACTCTACTGACGTTTCATCAATTTCCACAATAAAAACATGTTTAAAAAAAAAAAAGTTAACAAATGGGGGAAAAGCCAAGACCCAGGATAAAGGATTTAATCCAGTATTTATTCCACACTCATGATGGTTCTCTGTAATCAGAATACAAGTCATAAGAACAATCTATCAAATTTGCTGATAGTCTTAAATAATGCAGCACAGCATTACTTTCAATACTCCTCTGTTCTAGATTAAGTTTAAAAACTCAAACAGCAATCTCCATTATCAATAAAAAAAGTTTGGAATTTTAAAAAAAGGACACTATATCAAGCTGTTTCATAATTTAAGGATTTTCCATTTATAAAAATGCTTTGGAAGCTTGACGCTTGAATCTGTTTCTCTACTCATTTGCCCCACCCTCTCCCAATTACATGTTAGTATAGGGTTCTGCAAGAATGCTAGGCTTTAGACATTAATTTTTTTCTTTAATATAGCACTTTAAAATCTGAGAAAGAATTCAAGAAAAAAGGATTACATGTCATGTATTTTTTCAAATAAAAAAGGAAAACTAAGTGAATAAATTTTAGGCATACTAAGTGTCCCTTTGAGGTAGAATGCTAAAAGGACTTTTGATGAAATCACAGCCTAAAAACCTCTGCATCAGAAACTAACTTCTCATAAATTCTCTCTAAAGGTAACTGTGGAGAATATTAAGTGTAACACATTAACAAGAGCCTTCCAAGATAATATACAGTGGACAAAAATGTTAATCCTACAATGCTGCCTTCATGTACATTGGCAGCACATATTTCTCCTACAACAGACATCCAAGTTCCATTCTCAAAGTCTTTAGCATTCTATTACGAAAAGCACAGCCATGCTAACTTCAGTACACAAACCATAATCCCACACCTACAAAACAAAAATAGATTAGTGGCAGTTTATTGCCTTATACAAATTTAACCAACATGGCAACCATGCCAAAGGAATTAAAACATTTTCAGGACATATGTACAGACTGTACATTTCAAAAACAAACAATAAAAATGCAAGAACAATCTGTGCATCATGTATCAAACTTAACAATTGGGTGAAAACACCAATGCAATAAATGGAATTACAAAGGCACTTCCCTACACAAAAGAGGAAATGAAAATGCAGCCTACAGGGAGAGCTTGAGGAGTGCGAACTACTGCACAATCTCAACTTGGGGGAAAAAAAGCAGATTTAATCATTTATAGGATTCAATGTGATCCACTTTTACAAAATATTTTCACACAGTCTCATCTTTGTTTTTATGCTGTTTTTCTTGGCTCTCTCGTTCTATACTTTGGCTCCTTCGACGATCATGTTTGTCTGACTGGTCCTTACTATCACTGTGATCTCGTTTGTGGGAACGTTCTTTGCTTCCACTACGCTTTCTAGATTTTTCTTTGCTGGGACTATGTTCCCGTTTTTTTGATTTTTCAACACTGTCAGTTCTTCCTTGACTGCCACTTCGACTTCGTTTATTTGATTTTTCTTTACTTTCATTTTTATGTTTACTTGATTTCTCTTTGCTTCTACTTCTACTTCGTTTCCCTGCATTTCTACTTCGACTCCTACTTCTGTGTTTCCTTTCTCTGCTTCTGCTTCTACTGTGTTTTTTCTCTTTCTTGGAATCTTTTTTGTCATCTCTGTGCCGCCTATCATCTTTGTCTTCTTTATGTTTCTTCTCTTCTACCTCTCCCCTACTTCTCTGTTCCTTGGACCTTTCTCTTGATCGCTCTCTCTCTTTTTCTCGGTCATTTCCTCTTTCCTTATCATAGTCACGATCTCGTCTTCTACCTCTCTCATTTTCTTTCTCTCTTTCTCGATCCCTGTCCCTTCTATCCCCTTTCCTATCACGACTTCGACTGCGACTTCTATGCCTTTCCCTACTTCTGCTGCGCCTGCGTTCTAACCCCCGGTCAATACTTCGGGATCTTCGCCGTTCTTTCTCCCTTTCTTTGGCTTCACGCTCTAGTCGCTGGCGTTCTTTCTCTCTTTCTAATTCTCTGTCAAAACTAGAAGACCCATGGCCCTCCCGATGATGACTTCTACTTCTTGATCTTCTTGGGGACCTCCGTGGACTCAGAGATCTCCTTGGAGACCTAAGGAAGGCGGAGGGAGAAAGAAAATTTCAATGAATAAAACATGAAATTCTTTTCATAGTAATTTTCAACAGCATTATTTATTCAGGTCCTCATGCTTAAGTCCATGTCAAGAATCATCAAAGCAAAAAAGTTTATTGTTCTCATTTACAGATGCATAATGTTACAAAAAAAGCCCTGAAAAGAAGAAAATAATCTTTGGGGGGTAAAAGTGACAAACTAATAAAATGAACAGTAAAATTCCTAACAACTTACTATTTCTCAGAACCATTAACTTTGTATAAAACATATATAAAAAATAAGCATAATTCAAGAGTGACATTACCTTGAACGTCTGCGTTCAACATGTCTGTCTATTTCCTCAGCACCTTCCTTCCCATCTTTCTTGATTTTTCTAGGTCGGGTTTTAATCTGCTGATCAATATTCTTTTGAACTGGAACTGGAATTCTTGGAAACAAGGTAGAAAACCACTCCAGTTTTGTGAGAAAAGATCGTAGCATTTCTCCAATGGTCATTACACAGCCTCCACCAGCCTTCACATCTAGGTCCTACAGAAACACAAAAGATACCCTAGCCGTCAAAAAAAGTATTTCCATATATACATTAACACTATAAAAATATTACCATCTTTGGAATCTCAATATAAAAAAAACTAACAGAAAAATTTTATTTTCGTATCCTAATCTGACAATGAATGAACAGAAATATTTGGGCTTAGTGTGTGCATGCAGGTGTGAACAAACCCTGCAGCCTCACGGGCATAAAGGGAACTGATCTCACTCAGTTAACAATATGAAAAAGCCCCTTACATTTCTAAATTATGCGGAACGATTGACTTAAATTTACATTCCACATACCTACTATGTATTTATTTCTGTGGACATATTTGCACACATCATATACCTTGCACCATAACCTAGCTACATATCATCTACTTTAGATAATTCCTGTCTAACGGTTATCTTTTAACAGCTCTAATATAAAATGAAGCCCTAATAAAACTGGAAGCAATAGCAAACCAACTGCCATGAAGCAGTGAGGTTTCTAATTTAGTTATGTAGAAAATAAATAAATGAACAAATAATTGGAAACGCATAATCCATGATGACCATTGTCTCTGAAAAGGGTCATTACCGCATGAAGGCCTTCTTGCTATGCCCTCTCACAGCTCAGGACATGTTAGTCAGCTATTGTCAGTCCCAAACCTATAGTGCAAGCACACAAGGAAAGTGAGATTTGTTATCTAAACAGGAAAACAAGAGCTAAAGGTAAAACTGCTTGCACTCACACACATTTAAGTGTTCAGATATACAGTATATCCAAATATAATCGCTGCAGATATCTAAGGAAGAAAACAATAAGTTAGCTTAAATAGAGGACCTCAGATTTGTAAACACAATAAAAAACATAAAATAGAGGCATCCAGAAACAAAACCAATACAACACCAATTATGATGAGGAACATGCTTTTTTAAAGACAGAAGGGAGAAGTGCTTCAGTATGAAAAACTCATCTAAAGATAAAAAACCCTTAAAGATTGTGATTTAAAACACGTTTTGCTTCTTCTGAGTTATTAAGTAACTCAGTTAACTGGCAAAAAAAAAAAAAAAAAAGAGTAGAGAAAAATAAAAATTCTCCATGTCTAAATGAGATCTTTTTTTTTAAGGTGTGCATGTAATAACAAAACACAATAGATTTCCATTAGAACCATCCTTAAATTCAATAAATTCTTTGGATGAACTCTGTAAATAGACTACTGACATACAGCACTCAAAGTCTTTATGAACCTTAAAACACAAAATAGCAGAGTGGGTAGACAAATGGACAATACAGCTCATCATTTCATTTTTGAAATGTTGGACTTCACCATGTAAGTAAATTAATGCATATATGACATTTTGTTTTGAGAAAGGGTCTTACTCTGTTACCCAGGCTGGAGTGAAGCGGCAATGATCTTGGCTCACTGCAAATTCCACCTGCTGGGCTCAAGTGATCTTCCCACCCCTGCCTCCCAAGTAGCTGGGACTAATAAGATGCATACCTATATGCTCAGCTAATTTTTAAACTTTTTTTTTTTTTTTTTTTTTAGAGATGAGGTCTCACTATATTGCTCAGGCAGGTCTTAAACTCTCAAAGTGTTGGGATTACAAGTGTGAGCCACCATGCCCAGCCAATGCATACACAATTTATTTTTTATTATTCTCCTCTAGTATATGCATGCATATATGATTTAAATCTAACTTAGTATTTCAGATTTCAAATTAGGGAGACTCAAATTACAATTTAAAAAAAAATTCTTTTTTAAAGGTACATGTGGTGTACTAGGAGTCAGAAAGCTAGAATTAAAATTTTGTCACCTTGAACAAGTCATCCAAACACTTAGCCTATTTATGTAACACCCAGTTCTTCAATTCAGCACTTCTATGCAAGTGGGAATACTGATATATGGAAGAAGTTAGAGGGTGAAGAACTGAAATGTTCCAGAAGAAACAAAAGCTACAATTAGTATTCCATGTGCATGTATTTTATTATCACCTCGATCTTGAGCATGCCCCATCTTGAAAAATCACTATTAACTATACAATTCAGGATCAATGCAATACACAGAACATAACTAAGAAGTGAAAAATTTCCAATAATTACCAAACACATTTAAACAGTTTTAAAACAAGAAAATAAAACTTCAGAAATTTACCCTGAAATATATAAAAGCCATCAGGTCTCAGTAAAAGGACATTAATTCCAAAAGTATCTGACTGAAATAAATTTAACTACAGGAAATTCTTGAAGACATTAAACCACCAATAAATAAAAGATAATAAAAATATGAGAGTAATCAGAAGAAAACAAATTATTACCCTTGTTGACATACCTCTTCATCATCAAGGAAGGATTCAAACCAGTCCCATAGATCTGTAGGGGGCTGTGTATATCTAGAATTACAAAAGACTATTATTAAACATATGTGAATTAAAATGAGATATTTCCTGGAAATGTACATAAATGCACGCTCACCTTATATACATAAATCCAAGAGCTCTAATATATGGAGAGTCTGTGTGTGTTATAAGACCCATCACTTGCTTTCGAGTTAACTTCAGGGTAAATAATTTGTATAACAGGCAAAATGCTGTAGAAACAATTCCTCCTGTTCCAACACCTCGAACCTTTAGGGGAAACAAGAGTTAAGAAAAAGCAGTAAAATAATTAACAGACTCTTAACACCAATTGATTAATCCTGTTAGGTATTAATAACAAGCCATAATCCAGAACTAAGAAACAAGCATTAAAAAGTAACACTTTTCTAACCCTATTTCACTGAACAGTTGAATTTAGATTAAAAAAATTGTCACTCAAGTATATAATTGACAGGCCTCTAGTTCTCTAAATATAAACTTAGTTATCAGAAACAGAAAAACTGAAAAATGCACGTACTTCTACTTACCCCTCCGCACATCCCTGTCTGGCCCGCTGTTTTCCTGCTTCCTTTCTCCCATGGTTCAACGTGCGTGACCTGAAAATAGAAAAGAGGAACACAACAAACATTCATACTTTGAATTTGTTTAAAAGCCTGATAAAAGTATACCCAAGTCCATAATAGAGCAGCTCTTCCAAAATTATTTTGGCATTAAGTATATGTTTACTGACATTAAGTGTGTAAATCATTTTTGGAAAAACTGCTTAGACATTTAAACAACATCCAAAAGCTACTAGGGTTTAACAAAACCTTAATAGCTTTGCAGAGGAGAAATCCCACTAAACTGGCCTTATAAAGAGCTGATATCTATATCTGGGAGTCAGAAAATTTCTATAGTCTCCCTTGGTTGCAAAAACTATTTGGTAATATTTTAACTTTGATAATATTTGATAATATTTTAACTTATGAGTTGCTTTTAAAACATTTTCCTTTAAAAATGGATTTAAGTCTCCAATTTAAAGCAAAAAGTATTAATGAAGTTTAAGCATTAATTTGAAATACTTGAAAATACCTTTAATAGTTCAATTTTATTGTAATTTAAAATCTACATTATAAAATTAAGGAAAATTACTGGAAAAATCTCTAAAACAGTAACAGGTTACTTGTGATGCAAAATTATGGAACTTTTTATTTGTACATTTTTTCCACCAGGGTCAGGTTTATTCCTGATTAAAGATAAAATTACAAAGGCCACACTTACAGAGATCATTGTTGTAATTAAGCTTCAGCCTAATTATGTGTGAACCAATCCAATTATTCCCCAGAATATAAGTTGTGTCAAAAACTGAGTGTGACTAGTCACAGGCATATACTAAGTATCATCAAAGATGATACAGTATCATATTTGCTATAAGGAACATCTTACAAAAACCATTCCTTATCTAAAAATAGCAACAACAACAACAAAAGAATATTAGCTCTATAATAGAATCCAAAAAGGCCTTTTGGGAAGACCCATTTTTGTTTTTTTAAAAACATACAAAAAAAATCCTGTTTTTTCACTACGTATTTCTAAAATTCTATTTCCACCCGCACATGGTAAATTTTGTAGTCCTGAATAATGGCTTCAGATAGAAAATCATGCATTTAAGTTTAAGCACTACACTATTTCGCAGTGCTTTAACGTTTCCTTTACTCCCCACAGACTGCTATGTAAAAGATGTTTCAATTCCTTAAAAGCTAGCCAAAGTCAGGGTTGGATGCATACAAAATAAAATTACAACGTTGGAAACTTACATATTTCAGTGAGTATTTGATCTGAACGTCTTAAGTCCTGATAATATTAGTAAAAAGCTGGGTCTATTAGTTTTTTAACGGAATTTAAAAACAATTCCTGGTAGAATCTTGTTTCAAAACACATTTGAAACTTAAAAACGAGACTTTCCTCTATTACATTAACATTTTGCCTATGTTAGAAAACAGAACCTGCCGCAAAAAGAGCAGGAACCCAATTTTCAACTGCTTAAAGTTTACTGCATAAATAAAGCTAAGGATTAAATGTTATTCACCATACTGTATCCGTACTAAAAAGGTCTTACCTTTTAAAAGCTAAAAAAACTAATTCATAAAATTATAATCAGACCTACTCTCGTAAGAGGATTCCAAATTTATCTGTGTACTTTATCAACCCAAAGTTGAACTGTATTCCTCAAGATATGTTTTCTATAAAAAGCAACTAATCTCTCAAAATCCTTCAATAACCTAATTACTCAACTGGGGGAAAAGGTGGGCAAAACGAAAGAGAATGTCCTTTTGTTACCATCTCTACACATACGTTCAAATGACAGAAAACACTTTGTGTGGTCTGTCGAGTTTTTAAAAGTCAATATAGACAAAAATGGATTGTATATTAGATGCTCCGGATAAAATATTTAAAGACCATTAAGGCTATTATTAATTTTCTTTAAAATAGAAATTAACCTTTGGAGGCCTGGAAGGTATTTTTTACACTACCTAATTTGCAGGGAACTGGAAAAAGCCTACCTAATTGGTGAAGGACCAAAAGCAATGGCCAAAAAAAAAAAAAAAAAAAATCTAATTAGCCGTTCATTTAACCAGGGAAATGCATTTATGGCGATTGAGCATGATTAATAGTGCATACCTCTACCTGCGACCCTGGGCTGCTCCGAGCCTCGCTGCAAGACTGAGTCAATCCTGCTAACGAAACAAGAACTGAGACAAGAGTGCAGTGAGGAGGCGCCAGGTGAGCTCCCCAGCACAGCCAAGCCAGCACCGACCCTGCCGCAGAAGCCCAGGGCCCAGATAATTCTAAATTAGCCCAATGCACAGGTGGCTGAGACCTCTTACTCCTGACTTCCTGCTGGGAAAATTTCCAGGCCTTCTGTACACCTCTTGAAATGGCACCTCTCCACCCTCATCCCCCCAACCCCACCCGACACACACGCACTGACCATTTCCCTGTCTGGATCGGATAGTGAGTACCAACAACACGAGGCCAATACTGAAGTCATTACACGCCCTGGCCAGGGGTGAGCGGGAGAAGCACCAACAAGTTGGCGCTCAGTAGATCCACGTCAAAAGGAATAATTTTAAAGCTGTAAACTGGAAAGGCTTCTGTTACTCTTTCCTCCTCTCCCCAATCCCTCTTGCCGAACTCCCCCCAGGGGTGGGCAGAAGGTTGGGGGAGGAGATCAATAGTGGCGGGCTCTCCCGGCTCTAAAAATCTAAAATGGAAACGAGAGGGCGGCCCCAGTCCGACCCCTCCCAGAGAAGACTACAGGCCGCAGCTCCCCCTCCGCCGAACCACCTTCCCCCACCCACAAATCTTCAGATTTCGGGGGCCGCCTTCGCCCGTTTCCTCCATAGCCCCTCTTCCGAACTTACCCCCAAAGCCAAGGCCTACACGCTTCGTACCTTAAAGTAGATCTCGTCCACCACCTCGTGGTAGGTCTTGAGCTCGTAGAGCTGTACTTTGAAGTAAGGCGACGACAGGATGTTGGTCAGGATCATGGGGTTGAGGTTCATGGTCTTCTCGTTGCCCCAGAGCGGGAGCACATTGCCCTGCTTGCCCGAGACCGCCGGCTTGGTAGCGCCGCCGCCGCCGCACTGCTGCTGTTGCTGAGCCGCAGCAGCGGCCGCCTGGTGCTGCGGCTGCGAGTTGCCTGTCAGCGCGGGGCTGTTGTTAGCCATGTTGCGGCGGAAGGAAGGAGGGAGGGAAGGAAGGAGGGGGGGGAGGGGGCCAAGCTCGATCTCGCTCTTCGGGACAACGGTCTGGGACCCTACTCCATGGAACGTCGTCGGGAGAAGGGGCCGCCTTGCTGTGCCCCAGCCGGGCAAGAGAGGGCACCCAGGGCGCCGACAAAAGGACCCCGGGCCGAGAACAAACAGCGAAACCCAGTCCGCGAGAACTCCACGCAGAAGGGGAGCCGGCGGCAAGTGAGATCGATCTCTTCCGCCAACTGCCCCTGGGAACAAGATGGCGGACCCGGCGGATATGACGCCACGCACCCCAGCGTTCCAAGCTGAACTGCCGGCCAATCAGAGACGCCCAGGTGGGCTGGAGCGTCCTCTTCCTAGTTCCCCGCGTTCTCTGCACCTGAAGTCGCTGCAGTGACCTCCCTACCTGACTCTTAGGGGATTTCCCCTGAGAATTTGGGGGCCGGGGGAGAGGGTGGTAGGCTTAATCCGTTGTTGTTGTATTTTGACTGGGGGCTTGATTTCTTTTGTCGAGAGCTGAACCAGAAAGGGTTCGCATGGCTGCGATGTGCTTGCTAATATCGTGACTCTTGACTCCTGCAGAGTATCCGAGAGGGTCTCCTGGCGTCTGTTTTAAGGTTCTCTGGAAGGGACAATGGTCAGGGACCCCACTCCTCCGGGAGATTCTGATCAAAGGTCACGTCCTTCGCCAGCCTCTAGTGTCCAGCCAGAGATCTTAAATTTATTCAACCGTAAGATTGAGATAACATCTGCCTGGGCTGTTGAGAGCACTGAAAAAGCTAATATACTTGTGGCGCTTAGTAGACTGTTCCAGGCATCTGGTAGGCGCCTTTTCTTTTCTCCCTGCTCGGGATCTTTCGATTCTAGGAATGTGTTCGGAGTGGTAAACATTGGGTGAGATACTGTGAAATGGGAATGGGGGTGTGAATGTGTGGGGAGTTTGAACGTTGCAATCTTAACTTCAGTGGCGCATACACAGAGGAGAAGAAAAGAATGACGATGGAAACTTTGGGGAAAATCCCATCTGGATGAAAATAAACCAGGAGGAGAGAGAGAAGACAAGCAGAAAAGTAGGTAAACCAAGAGACAGTTGTATGACAGAATACAAGGAAACAGAAAAAAATAAATAATGAATTGAGTGACTGATTAATGTTTAGAGCTGTACAGTACAAAAGTGGTAATCCTGTCCAGTTCCTTTGTTTTAGGTTGCAAGAGAACTAGAACCCTAAGAGGAGAAGCAGTTTTCACCTTCTTAGTAGTAAATCTTGTTTTTCTCTATAGTGGTTTTTATTAACTTCCAAAGGAAAACTGAAGATCCTAACCCCTGTGTCATGAGTTACCACGTTAGAAGTCCATAGAAAAAAATTTTTTTGAACCCAGTTCTTACTTTTTGTGTATATATATTTTGCCTTGATAATAATAGTTTATTGAGTTTATTGAGTGACACATTGCCTAATCGTATGGCTTATTTTTAATTCCTCAGATACATGATCTTTCTGTATAGTCTTAAACAGTCTTTACCCCTAGTCACTTTGGATGAAAAGCTTGGTAGAGAGGTTGAGTTTGATATCTAAGTGTCAGTGGCATCAAACTCAGGGAGCCAGGTATTATGATAAAGTGCTTAACATATTCAATGAATCCCTACAACAGGCTGAAGATGTTATTTTTATCACCATTTTAAAAAATGTTTATTCACTTGTAATTGAAGACCTCTACGCTGCACATATATAAAGCTGTAAGTTTGGTTTGATCAGTTTTGACATATATGTATACCCATTAAACCATTACTACAATAAAAATAATCTTCCGTCATTCCCAAAAGTTTTCTTGTGCCCTTGTAATCCATCTCTCTTTCCAACTTCATACCGAAGCAACCACTTTCTGTCAATAGAGACTATTTTGCATTTTCTTGAATCTTAAATAAATGAAATACACAGTGTTCTCTTTTTTTGCCTCCTTATTGCATGTATCAGCAGGTTGTGTTTTTTTTAAATTACTGATTAGTATTCCATTGTATTGATTTATCACAATTTTATTTATCTAATCATTGATGGGCACAGCATTTTCATTTGTAATAGCCCCAAATTAGAAATAACGCAAAGTGTTAAAAATGCTGTGAACATTTGTGACTAGACAGTGTGGACTTTTTTTTTTTTTTTTTTTTTTTTGAGACAGAGTCCCACTCTGTTGCCCAGGCTGGAGTGCCCTCTTTCAGCAGGAAGTAGCCAGATGGACTTGACACCCCTCTTCACTATGCTATTTTCTCTTTCTTGAGACCATGATATGCAGCAGGCAGACACGAGCATGGGGGAATATAAAGGGTCCAAGATATTTGTCAGGGGAAAATGAGCAGAGCAAAATCACCTGGTGACCATCCAGTAGGCCCTGGAGACAAAAACTTCTTATCTGAGGATTTCAAAAGTAATTAGACTTCCCTATTATCTAACACAGGCATCTGGTTCCAGTTTTTTCCCCCCCAAATTTATAAGTAACTAGAATTTCTATATATCCCTCTTGAATGCATGCATATCAAAACTCATCGTGTGACCCTTGCTGACATTAAGGCACCAGAATGTCTACAAATGTAATATTTATCATGACCTACATGGCCGCTCCCATAAATATCCCTAAGGTCCATAAATACCCCTAAGGAAAAATTCACCGTGGCACACTCAGTCCTTTCTTGCTGAGGCACCCCACTGCACTCTTCTGCAGCATTCTATTTAATGGAAGTTTCCTTTTTAAACCTATACTGTTGTCTGTAGATTCTTCTTACCAACCCAAGAGTTGACCGCTTTCTGATGCAGGGGCTCTGACACCTCACTCGGTGTCATGCCTATGGTGTGAAGTAGGGTTGATGTTCATTTTTTCCCCCCCGACAGGTACTGAGTTCATCCAGCACAATTTGTTGAAAAGACTTTCCTTTCCCTTTGGAATTGCTTTAACACTTTGTCAAAAATCAATCAACCCTGCCATGTGTGGATCTACTTCTGGACTGCGTTCCATTGATCTTGGTGTTTATCTTTTCACTGATACCAAACTATCTTAACTACTATTGCTTACAGTAAGTTTTGGAATCAGGTAGAGTACAAGTATCCCAACTTGATTCTTCCTTTTAAAAGTCACTTTGGTTACTCTAGTTCCTTTATATTTCCATCAATTAAAAAAAAAAGCCTGGCATATTGATATGTATTGGTGCTCAGTGAACATGTATCATTCTTGAATAAATGATAAGAAGATTAAAATGGATTGCCATGTGTAACTAAAATGACAGAAACTGAATATGTGATTGTTCAGAACAACCACAAATCTAGGGTCATATAAGAAGCCATTGACTAACGTACCCAAGAACTAAAAATCTGAAGCGATTGGTGGTTTGTGCTAAAGAGTCAAGGGTGTTAGACAAAGCTACCCATCTCCTTGGTTATTATTTCAAAACACTGAATCAGACGAGTTATGAATTGAGATTTAAGAATTACCAGGAGTTAACTAGGTGAATAAAGGGGAACAGATATTCTAGGTAGGGCAAACCTGTGCAAAGGCTGTGAGTCACGAAAGAACAGATGGTGTGTTTGGAATGGGTTGTCACTATTAAGGCACTCGGCTATTTTTTCAGGGGCAAATTAAAAACCCGTGGTGGCTTGGCATGGTGGCTCATGCCTGTAATCCCAGCACTTTGGGAGGCCAAGGCTGGTGGATCACTTGAGGTCAGGAGTTTGAGACCAGCCTCGCCAACATGGCGAAACCCCTTTGCTACCAAAAAAAGAAAGAAAAAAAAACCAAAATTAGCTGGATGTCATGGCTCATGTCTGTAATCCCAGCTTCTTGGGAGGCTGAGGCACGAGAATTGCTTGAATCCAGAAGGCAGAGGTTGCAGTGAGCCGAGATCATGCCACTGTACTCCAGCCTGGGCAACAGAGTGAGACTCCATCTCAAAAAAAAAAAAAAAAATAATAATAATAATAAATAGTGGTTCATACTAATGAATAATGGCTGAATAGTGGGGCTGAATATCTGCTTGTCATCTCCGGCCACCAGAGGAAGGGTCTATGCCTTCCATCTAATAATTCCAGGCCCCAGTCACACAGTGATTGACATATAGTAGATACTAAGTAAATACTTACTTATTGAGAGAACAAATAAATGAATGAATTATTGGTTCTACTTGGCTGGAGAGTAAGACTGATCCAAAGCCTTTAATGAATGTGAGAAGAGTCCAGGAAGTCAGTTAAAGCCATGTCAGGGGAAAGAAGATATATGTCTCAAAGATGCAGCAGTTTTATTCAAGGGGGGAGTATTATAATGTAAGATAACATAAGAATGAACCTGAATTATTTAAATTATGGCCATTTGATTATGGCATGGGGTTATATATTTTAGAAAACTTTATGTGAAAATTATTGAAGTTATCTAAATTCACCTTGAAAATGTTATAGTAGTCTTATATTTAAAAATCTAACCATTAACTTTAATTCCCATGAATAATCTAAATTCTGATACAATGTTTGCCAGGGACATTTTTGTGTGGTTGCCAACTCTGTAGCATGGCCAGGGTTACAGATGGAAGTGATCTGCTCAGCAGATGGGTCATAAATTTGTTGATACTTGATTCATTTTAAGCTGCTGCTAAGAAATAAGAAATATCCAGAAGTTATATCTCAACCATTTGGAAAATTACACAAGGGGGGATAACTGTCACTATCTTTTTTTTTTGAGATGGAGTCTTACTCTGTTACCCAGGCTGGAGAGCCGTGGTGCAATCTCGGCTCACTGCAACCTCCACTTCCTGGGTTCAAGTGTTTCTCCTGCCTCAGCCTCCTGAGTAGCTGGGACCACAGGCGCCTGCCACCAGCCCCGGCTAGTTTTTGTATTTATAGTAGAGATGGGGTTTTGCTATGTTGGCCAGGCTAGTCTTGAACTTCTGGTCTCAAGTGATCCTCCTGCATCAGCCTCCCAAAGTGCTGGGATTAGAGGTGTGAGCTACCGCACCCAGCCCCCCGCCATTTTTTTTAAGATGGAGTCTCGCTCTTGCCACCCAGGCTGGAGTGCAGTGGCGATCTCGGCTCACTGTAACCTCTGCCTCCGGGGTTCAAGCGATTCTCCTGCCTCAGCCCCTTGAGTAGCTGGGATTACAGGCGCCCACCACCATGCCTGGCTAATTTTTTTTGTATTTTTAGCAGAGACAGGCCTTCACCATGTTGGCCAGGCTGGTCTTGAAATCCTGACCTCAGGTGATCTATCCACCTTGGCCTCCCAAAAGTGCTGGGATTACAGGCATGAGCCACTAGCACCTGGCCCAGCCTCTCTTTTACAAGACAATTCTTTGTATGTCTGATCAGAGACAGAGTACTGGGCTGAATGGGTGATTGTCACATCCGGGCCCAAATGAGATTAGGTAATGGATTCCAAACCTTTTTTTTTTTAAATCCTTTTGTTAATTGCTTTTGCTACAAAATGAAGTCAGGATAGAAGAGTTCTGACTGGTCCCTTCTTTATTTGGCCTTTATAAACCCATGGATCCTTGTAAGTGAAATTGTCTCATTCACAGTGCTATTGACAGGGCAACCCTATGTGGCCCATGATTTATACCAAGGGACCCTGGCTCTCTCACCACAGCCAGTTGGACCACAGGTGGCACTAATCTAATGCTAGCCAGTCACCTGTTATATAGCTTCCTTGTGAATAGATGATCTAGGGTTTCCAGATCCTTGTAGGAATCTGAATGGGGAACGTAATCAAACAGCAGTAGGCACTAAAACAGAAAGAATGGAATGAGATAGGGAAGGAAACATTCAGGTTCATACCCAGGTTCTGAGTAAGCAGTATTACAAAATAAGCAGGAGCTATGAAGTGGAGAAAAGATTAAGTTCCCAAGTCAGTATACTATGAAAATAAGCATAATCAATATTACCCTTTAAAAATTTGTTAAATAACTTACAAGTAGTACAATCACATAGTTTTGTGAGGTTCTCCTGTATACATGGACATTCAGATTGTTTTAAGGGATTCACTTTTTCACTTGCCAGGTCCTCAACCTTTATGCTGTATTTGTATCTAAAAGCGGTGATATAATATGTTCCTGCCTCCTCCCCTTCCACATTGCAAAAGAAAGGTACACATCTCACTCATCCAAATCTCATAATAGTGCATTGTCTTGAGGTATAAAAACCTCAAGGTACCAAAGTGCCATTTTTTAAAAATGGTGTTGGAAAGACCAGGTAAAATTTCCTTTTGCAAGTCAGGTGGTTTCCAATGTGCCGCTTTCAACAAAATAGATGAAGGACCTAACCAAATTGTCCACTGAGAGATCTTTAAACATAATTTTTTTTTTTTTTTTTTGAGACAGGGTCTTGCCCAGGCTGGAGTGCAGCAGCCTCTGCTTTCTGGGCTCGAACTATCCTCCCACCTCAGCCTCCCAAGTAGCTGGGACTACAGGCATGTGCTATCATGCCCAGCTAGTTAGTTTTGTTTTTTTGTAAAGACGGAGTCTTGCCATGTTGCCCAGGCCAGTGTTGAACAGCTGGGCTCAAGTGATCTTCCCACCTTGGCTTCCCAAAGTGCTGGGATTACAGATGTGAGTCACTGCACCTGGTAATTAACCATAATTTTTGATGAAAGCTCACCAAGTCATGTTAGCATGTAACTTGGAAGTCTTTTAAAGAATTGTCACACTGCTATAACAAAACTTTGAGATCCATTTACTCACATAAATGAGGTTTCTCAATACATCTAATAAAAAAATAGGGATAGTATTGATGCTAAACTGTCTCATTTTATAAATCATAAACAGCTATATGAAGTAATGGCTAAAAAGACACATCATCTCATCAAAAGATATAGTTATAATAAAATGCTTTTTGTGTTTAATAATTACTTATCAATATTTATATCTGTTATTTTGATATCAGTTATGTCCTAAGAGTAACTGTTTAAA